ATTAATATTTTGCACAATTTGCACAGATTGCAATTTGTACAATTACAAACTCGAAAATAAATTTATTTATTTACCAACGTATATAAAACTAGTTTCAAACAGAGAATTTTTGACTGATCCCGCTGAATTTAATTTAAAAAAAAAATTCTTTATAGCTTTTATTACATATAATAAAAATAATTTCAGTACAAATATATTTTAGTATAATAATTATATATAATTATGAAGTAAGCGTTGTTAGTATGTAGGTCAGATGACGGATTTTGAACGAGAAACGAGTTTGATTTGTTTAAATGTGTCCGATATAAAATGTATGTATACTATATCATTAAAATATTCTATTTATACGTTCATATATATTTATTAAATCAGTGGTAGATAAGTAGTTAAAAGGCCCGCCTCTCATGCACGGGGCGCGGTTTCGATCCTGGCCCTGGCAAGTACCAATGTGATTTTTCCGAGTCATATGTACTTTCTAAGAGATTTAGACACCACCGATTAATGCATTCCCAAAGAGGGTTGATGTCAGGCAGGCGGAAGTCGTAAAAACAATTAGCCAAAACTATTCACAACATGTAAGACAGACCCTGGCTAAAGCTGGGCAATTGCCAGGCCGAAGAAGATATTACTTAGGGCCTAAACCCATTATTCTATTTATATTTAGGATAGTAAAAGAAAATTTTAAGATTATTTTCTGATGAAAAATATATTATTAAATTAATATTCATTATTATATATTTTTATTATGATTAAGATTTCTCTGTTAAGACTCTGTTTGCAGACGACGTTTGATATGGTCAAAGCAGTTGTTTCACTTTGTTTTTCAAGGTTGATATAGTATTCTCTCGAGAATTTAATATAAATAGTATAAGCTATTGTTATTATAACAATGATTATGTTCATACAAAATATCATATGGACTTGTAAACAAAAAAGGTTATATATTACTTCTTCTACCTGACAATTTCCCAACTTTAGCCAGGATCTGCCGAAAAAAAAGCTTATATTACATTACTATTATTTAAAAACTTTTTGGGTGTAAATTTGTGATTTTAATTCTGTTTGGGGAAATTACAAAACCTTTATAATTTTTGAATTTAATGGATTATACCTATATTATTTTATTTTGTATATGATTTGGTTATATTCATCGAAGTTAATACGAAAGATTTTTATATGGAAATGTAATAATATAATTTTTCCTATAAAACTATTGAATCATTAGAATTAAAGCATATAAAATAAAATTATAAATTTTTACAATTTTTTTCATTGCTTTTCAATGACACGATAAATTAGTAGGAAGGAAAAATGCGACCTTTTTTCTATAAATATATATACGTATTTTCATATATATAGATATGTATTGTACATATTATAATATGTATAACTACTGTACTTGTATATGACTGTATCGCTCGCTTATAACGACTATCGGATATAACGTCGGTAACTATACGGTCCCTTCAATGTCGTTATAAACGGTTTATATACAGGGTGACTGGTGAATTACTATCAATATTTAAGGAGAATACTCGGTACATGATTCTCATTCGAATTATGTAAAAAAAATAGGCACTTAATTTTTGACCAAATTTCCGTATAAATAAATAAAGTGTGGACACGTTCCAAGTGTTCCAAGTGTGGACGCGTGTGGCGGCGTGCTGATACAACACCACGCCACCGCACGCGCGTGTGTGTGTGTGTGTGTATACCTAATCTGTAGGGTGTTCACACGATGCGTAATTAATTACATAACTTTTGGTTAACTTTACTTAGAAGGTTATTAATATTTATGTTATATTAATTTTTATTTTGTCATATATGATCGTCAAATATCACGTCCTCAAGTATCGATAGTAATTCACCAGTCACCCTGTATATATAACAAAATTTCAGTTAAACGACGATTTCTTTTTGAATGAAACTAAGGCTTTCGGCTACTACCATTTTTTTATGTTCAAAATACATACTAGTAAACCTTTAAGTAAACAACAAGCATTATTTTTAACTTTATTAGTTATTTTTCCCGATCTTCAATTCCCACTCACATTGATACACACGGGTGTATAAAATGTCAAATAATTTCTCATGAATATTAAATAGTTAGCATTCGATTATTGGTACAGTGAAAGCGGATCAAGGAAGCAGTGTGTTGTATGTGATTAGTGAAAATTAAGGTCACATTAAAATAATTAAAACAAAATATTGTTAAAAACAAATCAGCTTCTAGGTACGATAGTATCGATGTATTTCACGATTTTTTTACATTTGTACTCTTCTTCTACCTGGCAATTTCCCAGCTATAGCCATGGTCTGCGTTATGTGTTGTGAATAGTTTTTGGCTATTTATTTTTACGACCGGCCGCCTGCCTGACATCAACCCTCTTTTGGGAATCAACATTAATCAGTGATGTCTAAATACTCTTAGAAAGTACATATGATTCGGAAGAATCACGTTGGTACTTGCCCGGGCCAGGATCGAACCCGCGCCCTCGGCGACGAGAGGCCGAGAGGCGGGCCCTTTAACTACTGAGCCACCACTGACTGACTTTTTTACATTTGTACTAATTATATATTTGTATGTATGGAAGTATTATTTTCGTTTTTAATTTAAAGTAAATTTTATATCGATGTTTTTAATATACAACACTAGTAATGAATGGTATTTATAAGTGTCATAACTTATTAGTTAGATGAATTTCTTCATTCTTATAAAATCAGCAATAATCTCATCTGCCCGTGATCACGGTTGCTGTAAAGTAGCCGAAACATTGGGAGTATGTAGTTTTTATCAAAAATAAAGTCGCGTAGTACATCCGAAAAATATTCATATTTCATCATCAGTCTATCAGAGCCCGCTGCTGAGCAAAGGTCTCTTCTCACGTGGAGAAGGTTTGAGCATTAATCACCACGCTTGCTCAAGACGGGTTGGTGATTTCAAACTTATAATTATGAAATTATAAGTCCAGGTTTCCTCACGATGTTTTCCTTCACCGTCTGTCAGTGGTATCTAAATATTCTTAGAAAGTACGAATAATATTAGTTACATTTAAACAGCAATAATGTTTTTTTGGTGCTTCTTAGAAGGTGGATGAAATAAATATATTATTATTTGATTTTGACGTTTATATTGTCTTGCTGTGTGTATGTATGTGGCATTATAGCTCTTAAACGGATGGACAGATTTCAATGCGGCCTTTTTAGAATGAAAGTCAGTTTCTATGTGGTGGTTCTTAGCTATGTTTAATTAGTATTGGTGCAACAATGAAACAATGTCAGAACTTTTCCAATATAATGTCAGGAATTTTATTAAGACTCAATTAAGTGGCTCAAGCGCGAAAATATAGTAGTTAAATAATAATTAGTGGGCGTTTTTTTAATTTTAATATATTTATTAATTTATTTAATTAAGTTTTTGTCATAATTTTATTGTTTTTCTCTATGTAAATTTGTAAATTGTTTTAAAAAGCCATCCGTGACAAAAACTTAAATAATTCGTATTAAATATTGTGAAAATAAGTAAGATATCAATTAAAGTACGAAAGATTTTATTTCTAAATAACTAACTACGATACATGTTAAAGAATTTTAGTAGTTACCTTACAACACGTTTGAATTGTTCCATTACATAATAATAATTAATTATTTTTCATACATATATATTATAGTATTAACGTAGATTGTTGAGTGAGATTAGTTAAATATAAACTTGTGGTAAACACTAAATAAATAAAGTTACTTAATACTTTCAGTTCGACGTATTCGGTAGTGTTAAGTCATTGAATATGTACTACTACATATATTGGGTAAAACTACGTATATTTGATGACGTCATTGTCACATATTAAAAGTAGTTCAAAATAATTTTGATATAACACCTCAGAGAAATAAGGTTTCTTATGTACGCCATATATAAGTTTACTTTTATGTATAACTAGCTTTCGCCCGCGACTTTGTCTGCGTTATTTTCATAATTAGAAATGTATAGCTGAACAGGCGAACTGTCTCGATTTAGAGACAGTAAAAAACAGATTTTGGATTTTTTTTATCAAGTTTTTTTGAACGAACTAATTCAAAATTATCCTATGTCCTTTTCCTGGTTCTAAGCTATCTCTCAACCAATTATTATCAGTATAGTCGTTCTTGAGTTATAAATAGTGTAACTAACATGACTTTCTTTTATATACATATATGTGAGTATAATATATTGATTAAATATAAATGTAAGGTCAAGATTATAACCCATAAAACAATTTTTATGAGAATACCGCGAAATTTTATATGCTGTCAAAAATTCCTTATATTATTCTTCTTAACTCAGGCAAAGGAATATTCTATAAATCCATCGGTATCAATATCACCAAAAAGTTTTTATTTCAATGAGCATAATGAATTAAATAAAGATTATATTGACTTTAATAGAATATGTATAATATAAATTTGTTTGTTAAAACTACTACATTATTGTGTGAATGTTTGCTGTGGGATTTATCATTATATATATATAGATTGGCTGTATACAGATAACCCGTGCGTTATCGTGACGTATTTTATTATCTGTTGGTTCCAGTAGAAATTACTTTTAATCGAATTATTATTTTGGTGTTTTAATTTCAAGGTCATTCCCTTTATAGCAAAGAAACACTTAATTTTTATGTCTAATAATATAGTACTTTATATTAGCTTTGAAACCCCTTTGTACATTTAATGTATGACGTCACCGTTGCCATGGCAACTGATGTGTAATGAAATTACGTAAATAAAAATTGTTTTTATACCTAGAAAAGTATTCCCAGGTACAAATTTGGTATAGATGTAATGTATTAAAATATATTAATTTTGATATAAAACTTACTTTAATTGAAATATTTTTTTTTATATACCTAATAATTAAATTTATTATACAATTTCCTTGTTCTATATATTGTCGAGGATAATTATGTGTTTTTATCGTTTTCGTTGTTCATTTCAATGTACGTATGTATGTATTGTTACAGAATATTCGTGAACAGATCGTTGCATTTAGAAAATGTCAAGTTCTACGGGTTCGATATGGACTATACACTGGCTGGTGAGTACTGGTGGTAGGTTGTGGTACCACCATTTTAAATAACTTACCACTTTATATATAGATATAACTCTGTCTGTTTGTTACGCTTTCACGCCTAAACCACTGAACTGATTTTAATGAAAATTGGTACAGACATAGAGTTGACCTTAAGAAAGAACAAAGGATAGTTTTTATCAAAAACTTTTGAAAGGTTCTCTTGGGAACGCGATATAACCGAACTCCACGCGGGCGAAGCTGCGGGCGGAAAACTAGTTTATTATATTCTCTATTATTGATTAATTTCTATTACATTATCTGTTACCTTAATACAAGTTGACATAGTCACTACACAAAGCGTTTTCCGTTTCTCATACAATTACCTACATGAAAACTAATGTACGTAGATTCATGATTGAAAACTGTCAACGCTACGTATTTAGTGTGGATGATATTTAGTTAAATACTGAGTTTCAAAGTATTTCCGTTTTATTTATTGATAAATAAATTGAAATTATTCCATCGTACAATGACGTAGAGTAAATAATTACTTAGAGTAAATAAGTAATAGTAATACATACAGATGCATTTAATATGAATTTTATTCATAGTAAAATTTAATATATATTATTTGTATATGAGATGAATATGTGTCAGTGGTGGCCTAGTGGTTAAAAGATCCGCCTCTCATGTTTGAGGGCGCGGGTTCAATCCTGGCAAGTACCAATGTGATTTTTCCGAGTCATATGTACTTTCTAAGAGTTTAGACATCACTGATTAATGCATTCCCAAAGAGGGTTGATGTCAGGCAGGCCGCCGGTCGTAAAAACAATTAGACAAAACTATTCACAACATGTAAGGCAGACCCTGGCTATAGCTGGGATATTGCCAGGTAGAAGAAGAAAATTATATGTATGTAGTTTAGGAGGTGTATATGTATGTATGTTTGTAGAGTACAAGTCACCTCAATACGAGAACCTCGGCTTCAACCTGACCAAGGAGAGACTCGTCCACAAAGGTTATCCCAAAGAGATACTCGACTTTGAATACGATCCATCTTTTCCTGTGAGGTGAGAATATATACTTTATTATTATTAATTGATTATTTGATTAATTATGTTGTATATGTAGAAGTCAATTTGTATGATGTGTCAGTTTATAAATAGCTTTGGCGTTTATAAACATGAACCTTACCTTACAGGAGAAAAATATGCTTCTGATGTTATAAAACATTTTATAAAATGACGACAATTTTGAAACTGATTTCGATAATTTTTAAAAGGACATACTATTCAAATTGCCTATATATATGTCTGTCTATAAAAATAGAAGAAAGTTACTGAAGATTCCACGGAAGCAAGACCTAGAATATTAAAAACAAAATTGTCTCTTTCAAATTCATTAAAAATGACGCAAATTTATTGATGGAATGAATTTTTAATAAGATAAGAATTAAATAAAAAAACTGAATAAAAAGTTTACATAAATAGATTATATTCATTAATTGAATAAGTTTACATAATATAATCAAATAATTTCGTATCGAAAATTCTCTCGATAAAATTATAACTTGACATTGGATTAATGTATTCGTTATCAGTCCATCGCAACTGATAAGGATTTGGAATAATTAATATTCAATTGGATTACATTTAATATGGATTTATGATTTTAAATAATATATGTATATTAAAATTGTAAATTACCATTGAAATATCGAAGTCGAATTCCGAGTGACTTTAGAGTGACTTGTAATATCATTTAGAACAGTGGCTCTCAACCGGTGGTTCGTGAGATTCAAATAGTTATCCACGAACGAATTTAAACTTTCTAATTATATAGATGTTTTAAAATGATATTTGTGTTGATACAAAATATATTGAGTAGTTTATAAAAGTTTATTTGCTTAATCATTCACTTTATTTTTCTTATACATCGTGGTCCCATGCGAACTAAAATAATACAATGTGGTCCCTGATCAAGAAAAGGTTGAGAACCACTGATTTAGACAGAGTCGAATGATAGGATATGTCTTACTATCATACATTGTTTCAGAGGTCTGTGGTTCGACACATTATACGGTAACCTACTAAAGGTCGACGCATACGGTAACATACTAGTTTGCGTCCACGGCTTCGAGTTTCTGAAACAGTAAGTGAATATAATTATTAAGTTTATTTATATGTTTTATATTAATTAATGTTATGTATAATGTATGTAGTTCTCAGGTGTACGAGTTGTATCCGAATAAGTTCTTAACATTGGATGAGTCTCGAGTCTATGTTTTGAACACCTTGTTCAATTTACCAGAGACTTATCTCATCGCTTGTTTGATCGACTTCTTCACGAACTCGCCTCAGTATACCAGGTGAGTGAGAACTGATAGTATGGGATTTAAAACATTTTCGATCTACTGAAATTTCCGTAATATTTCTTGTTAATGCTATTTTTTTCTTTACATACGATTTATCATATCTATTACATATAATTTCAAAAAAAAATATCAATTAAACTTAACTTTACAATTGTCTTTACCGTGTTAAATGAGAGAAAAAAATTTCAAAAAAAATTATATTTAAATTAAATCTTAACTATCAAATTGTCTTTACCGTGTTATACATATGAGCGTCAAAAATTCAAAAAAAAAAATTTAAATTTTAACTTTTCAAATTGTCTTTACTTTTACCGTGTTATTTTATAATTTCTCAAATCCCCTACCATCGTTATTATACAGAGAGAAGACCGGTGTAAGATGCGGCGATTTAGCCATGTCATTCAAGTCTATATTCCAAGACGTGAGGAACGCGGTAGACTACGTGCATATTCACGGAGACTTAAAGAAGAAGACCACAGAGAACTTGGAGCTATACCTCAAGAAAGACGACCGACTGCCAATGTTCCTCTCCAGGATACGGGAGAGTGGAGCCAAGCTGTTCATACTCACGAACAGCGACTATAACTTCACGGATAAGATCATGAATTACTTGTTCGACTTCCCGCACGGCGCTAAGGTTGGTCTATGAGACACACACACACACACACACATACACACACACACACATATCAAACTTATATATGATACACGCGACTTTTATTTACACACATACAGTTAATCGTAAGTTGTATACATACACTCACGCACACACACATAGTACACTCACTTACATGCATACGCACACACTAACAAACAAACATATCAAAACTATACAGGGTGACTGGTGAATTACTATCGATACTTGAGGACGTGATATTTGACGATCATATATGACAAAATAAAAATTAATATAACATAAATATTAATAAACTTCTAAGTAAAGTTTACCAAAAGTTGTGTAATTAATTACGCATCGTATGAACACCCTACAGATTAGGTATACACACACACACACACAGACGCGGCGGCGGCGTAGTGTTGTATCAGCACGCCGCCGCACACGTCCACACTTGGAACACTTGGAACGTGTACACACTTTATTTATTTATACGGAAATTTGGTCAAAAATTAAGTACCTATTTTTTTTACATAATTCGAATGAGAATCATGTACCGAGTATTCTCCTTAAATATTGATAGTAATTCACCAGTCACCCTGTATACATGTATGATTTACATACTAGCTGATACACGAGACTTGTTTACACACACAAACACATGCACACACACATATACATACATACATGCATGCATGGTTTAGACTTTAGGTACCTATTTGATACTATCATCTTTAATATGATAAGAAATATCAATAGGAATTTTTACTCTCATATATTGTTTCTCTTTTTAAAAACCTATACGTTTTTTGATTACATGCAAATCGATCCATACGTTTTTAATTTTGTCTAGTTTGAACATTTTTATATGTATGTCTGAAATAGAATATATGTTACGACATATGCATTCTTGTTTATGCACAGCGGGGACAAAACAAAGTGAACAAAGTAAACAAAGTCGAAATGACTGGTGAAGTCAATACGTATATAGAATTCCATTAACATATGCCTTTGTCCGATAATAACAAAGTAATTAACATGGTTACAACGTATTTGTAAAGTTGCGTATTTCCGTGATGCTTTGTTTTTTTTTGCTTTGATTTTATCTAAACATGTACAGCCTTGAAATAGCCGATAAAAATGTATGGAATATTTTTATATACAGGGTGACTGGTGAATTACTATCGATACTTGAGGACGTGATATTTGACGATCATATATGACAAAATAAAAATTAATATAACATAAATATTAATAAACTTCTAAGTAAAGTTTACCAAAAGTTGTGTAATTAATTACGCATCGTATGAACACCCTACAGATTAGGTATACACACACACACACACAGACGCGGCGGCGGCGTAGTGTTGTATCAGCACGCCGCCGCACACGTCCACACTTGGAACACTTGGAACGTGTACACACTTTATTTATTTATACGGAAATTTGGTCAAAAATTAAGTACCTATTTTTTTTACATAATTCGAATGAGAATCATGTACCGAGTATTCTCCTTAAATATTGATAGTAATTCACCAGTCACCCTGTATACATGTATGATTTACATACTAGCTGATACACGAGACTTGTTTACACACACAAACACATGCACACACACATATACATACATACATGCATGCATGGTTTAGACTTTAGGTACCTATTTGATACTATCATCTTTAATATGATAAGAAATATCAATAGGAATTTTTACTCTCATATATTGTTTCTCTTTTTAAAAACCTATACGTTTTTTGATTACATGCAAATCGATCCATACGTTTTTAATTTTGTCTAGTTTGAACATTTTTATATGTATGTCTGAAATAGAATATATGTTACGACATATGCATTCTTGTTTATGCACAGCGGGGACAAAACAAAGTGAACAAAGTAAACAAAGTCGAAATGACTGGTGAAGTCAATACGTATATAGAATTCCATTAACATATGCCTTTGTCCGATAATAACAAAGTAATTAACATGGTTACAACGTATTTGTAAAGTTGCGTATTTCCGTGATGCTTTGTTTTTTTTTGCTTTGATTTTATCTAAACATGTACAGCCTTGAAATAGCCGATAAAAATGTATGGAATATTTTTATATACAGGGTGACTGGTGAATTACTATCGATACTTGAGGACGTGATATTTGACGATCATATATGACAGAATAAAAATTAATATAACATAAATATTAATAAACTTCTAAGTAAAGTTAACCAAAAGTTATGTAATTAATTACGCATCGTGTGAACACCCTACAGATTAGGTATACAGACACACACATACGCGTGCGGCGGCGTAATGTTGTATCAGCACGCCGCCGCACGCGTCCACACTTGGAACACTTGGAACGTGTCCACACTTTATTTATTTATACGGAAATTTGGTCAAAAATTAAGTACCTATTTTTTTTACATAATTCGAATGAGAATCATGTACCGAGTACTCTCCTTAAATATTGATAGTAATTCACCAGTCACCCTGTATATTAAAAAGTTTTCTTTCAATTAAATCCGATACTTACTAAACAAAATGGATATTGGTCTAACTATTTTTTATGGAATTATCTTGTAAAATGACTAAAGATGATATTTTCAGAGTTTATTTATGTATTTTATTAGTGAGTTATTAACTGAAATTTTTTATGTCATTCGTTAAACAGTCATAAATGTTATTCGGTTCAGACACTCCCGTTGTTTAATCTATTTTACGATACCAAGAAGTCGTTCGAGTTTTCATTTAAATACGTACAACTGACAGTTTGGAAGTATTTTATTAATATGATGATTGAAAAGATATAAGTGCTCACTGCTTACTTTGTTGATGTAAGCTAGTGATGTACTTGATAACCGTGTATATCCGATTAGGAAGTGATAACCGTATTTACGATTAATGTTTTTTATCATACAGCACATCACTACTTGTCATCCCTACTTAATATTATAAATGTGAAAGTAACTCTGTCTGTCTGTCTGTCTGTTACGCTTTCACGCCAAAACCACTGAACTGATTTTAATGAAATTTGGTACAGAGATAGAGTTGACCTAGAGAAAGAACATGGGATAGTTTTTATCCCAAACTTTTGAAAGGTTCTCTTGGAAACGCTATATAACCGAAATCCACGCGGGCGAAGCTGCGGGCGGAAAGCTAGTACTTAATAATTAAAGAAATTTTGTATACGTGAAACATATTTGGAAATTGTTTTCTTGATGATGATGAAAAATTTTATATTCCTTTTATGTTCGTTAATTATGTATCCCTTATTATGTATGTGGATCTTAGAACAAGTTAAACTATATACACACACACACACACACGCACACACACACACATATATGTACACATATATATTGTACAGTACCGTGATCACGGGCGGATGAGATAAAATCATTCCGCTGAAATGTCATGTAATAAATCATATAGTATATCCGATAATAGTATTATATATTAAAACATGTACTAACGTAATTCATAGTCATCATTAACACAAGTTTTTTGCCCGAATTTGCTTATTAAATAACATTTACAAAGAGAATTATTTTTTTCTAAATTTATCAAATTATAATAAGATCTAAGATTTTCGCGAGTATTCATGTAAATGAAACTAATATTTTTGGGATTACTACGCGTTTATTTAAGCGTATGAATCACATTCTCATTTCGTATGTCCGTGATCACGGTTGCTGAAAAGTTACCGAAACTTCGGGAGTATGTAATTTTTGTAATGATAAAATACGCGTAGTATATCCGAAAAATATTAGTTTAATATTTTTTTATATAACTTATTGTCTTAATAATATTTAAATTTAAATTCCCTCGTTTTTTGATATGACCATAGGACCTAATTATTTTTTCTGTTTTAATGGTTTCTATTTGTCGATCATTGTGAATGCACCCTAATCATTAATACAACGATCATACCTTTGATCTCCTAGCCTGGAGATCCTCACAGGAATTGGAGGACGTACTTCGATTGGATAGTCGTGGATGCTAAGAAGCCGTTGTTCTTCGGCGAAGGTACGACATTGAGGCAAGTGGATACGGTCACCGGTGCACTCAAAATGGGACACCATGTGGGGCCTTTGCATGAAGGACTCGTGTATTCCGGAGGTGAGTTATAGCATTTACAGGTGGTAGAATATGTAGTGGTAATTAATTTTTGTATATATATTTGTATTTTACGTTTTTGTTTATGTCATAATATGCACTGCCCTCTCTAGAATATTTGTTATCCTCATCGGTTGGGTTGCCTGTAAGAGATCGCTTCTAGTGATAAGGCCGCCATTGCCTTAAATTTTCTGTATTTATATGTAATGTTATTTCCCATGTTTTTGAGTGCAATAAAGTATATTTCTTCTTCTTCTACCACCTTCTCACAAAAAATCGTCGTGAAGTAGACTTTAATGGCTGCGTTTCATCGGATGAGTGAGAGAGATGATTGCTTTTCCCCTTTTCCCATCATATCCTCTCTTTCTCCCATGATCAAAGTCAGCAATGCATCCGCAGCATCCCTTTTGTTGCAAATGTCCATTAGCGAAAGTGACCTTCCATTCAGTAGGCCACCTCTTTTGCCACTTTGACCAAAAAAAGAGCAAAAAACATATAAAAAAAAATGGTTCAATACATATTATACATAACAAAATCCATCGGGTGGAGTCGCAGGCAAAAACTAGTTTGGGTGTATTTGCAATGTGAATAATGTTATTATCTGGTTACGGAATTTCGTTTAACATAATTGCTCAATCTTTAAACTATGCAGGACATGTATTGGAATGTTTTCAACCGGGTCTCTGGTGTGGGTGTTGACTGTTGTTAAATTATGTCAAATATATTATGTACTAGTTTCTGCCCGCGGATTTGTCTGCGTTAGTTTTGGAATTAGAAATTAATAGCTGACCGGGCGTAATTCCCAAAGAGGGTTGATGTCAGGCAGGCGGCCGGTCGTAAAAACAATTAGCCAAAACTATTCACAACATGTAAGGCTGACCCTGGCTATAGCTGGGAAATTGCCAGGTAGAAGAAGAAGAAGCTGACCGGGTGTACTCTATTACTTCTCAAAGACAGTAGATAAGAAGATTTTTAATTTGATCTAATTTTTTTTTCTTTTTCAATATGATGAAAAGTGTCCTATGTCCTTTCCTTTGTTTTAAGCTATCTCTCCGCCATTTCTTGAGTTATAAATAGTGTAACTAACACGACTTTCTTTTATACACAAAGAAATATTATTTATTAAGTTAAAATTATTTTTCTACGTCGCAGAGACGAAAATCGAAAGTTCATTCTGGTTCAACGAACCGGTTTATATTTTGTTTACATTTTTTTTTGCATTCTTAATATAGAAGAGTTCTTAATTATAAAATGAGCTTAAAATACGATCGAGTTTCTGAAAGTCTTAAAATAATAAATTCTCCTTTCTGGTGCAAAGTCCAATAAATGCTAATAGTAGTACCGAAATAAACAACTTGAATTTATGTTGATGAAAAACGTATCCTTGAGATGTCAAGTTGCAAAAATATGTACAAGTCCGCACACACACATATGTATATGTATATATGTACATGGTATTCATTTTGAGTACTATGTTCTACTTAAATTTGTTTTAGCGAGATCCAAAGACACTTGATTTTAATGGCTTTTTTAACTCCGAGTTACGTTTCTAACTTACATATAATAATTTGGTACTAAAATTATTATCGTTTTTATTCCTGGGTTTATTTCAATAAAAAATATATATATTAAATCCATCACAATATAATATATTATTGGAAACATTGTCGTAGGTTCGTGCGATGTTTTCACCGAGCTAATATCAGCGAAGGGTAAAGACGTGTTGTATATCGGGGATCATATCTTCGGTGATATCCTCAAATCCAAGAAGATAGGAGGCTGGCGGACTTTCCTTATAGTTCCCGAGCTGGTTCAAGAGCTTCACGTCTGGACAGACAAGTGCACGCTGTTCGCACAGCTGCAAAACCTGGACGTCCAGCTGGGCGATATGTACAAGTGAGTGCGTTTTAAGTTAACGTGTACAAGTGCAAGTGTACATTTAGTTTATGTGTACAAGTACATTTGTACATTTTCGCTAAATATTAATATTCGAGCACATGTGTACATACTATAATTTTGTGTCTTACATCTGTACATTTTAGCTGAATACTAAAATATAACGAGTGCAATTTTTAAAGAAACTAATATAATTATATTTGTACAAGTGTACAACTACTAATATAACCTAACGAGTATATTTATAGAAAGTATGTTATTTATTTGATCAATTCTTATTTCAACTGTAACGCGATGATACACAGAGATTATTATTATTCACAAAGTTTTTATAAAAGAAAATTTTGTTTACAATCATCAGAATTAAAAATTTAACAGATCATGATATTACTTTGTACACAAATCAATTTACTTTGTTTTACATAACTATTGCTATTTTACCGTAATTAATTATATCAACTTTAAAATTATAATAGTATTGTCATTGTGTTTGACATTTAGTGACAAACACACATACACATTGAGGAATCTTTTACTATATGTATTGATTATACGTGTGTGTGTGTCTGAGTCATGTTAGTGTGTGTCATGTTTATTTTATAAATAAAAAAACAATTTTCTTGTTTATGCCTACTTTAAATTAAATTTTAATACATATAATAGATATTCTTTCAAAAGTTATACAAAGTTTTCTCTTCAGATAAAATCTATTCTTACATAATATGTCGTAATTTACTTTGAATAATTCAGATGTTAAATTAATAATATTATTTGATATGTCAATCAACGCCAACGATATTATTTATGTTATATTGTAACTGGTTTAAAATAATAGTATAATAGAAGCCTGCGGGTTTGCTTGCATCACATCAGAATAACTATTAAATGTTAAATCTTTTATACTTGGTCATTATCAAGTAGAAAGTTCCTATCATTTGATACTACGCTATTCAAGTTTTTGTCAAAAAATACTTAAATAAGCACTACGTGTGATATTTTCTCTGTGTATCCGAAAAATTTCTGAAATACGAGATAAAGTTTCATCAAAATTTGTGAAGTCGTTTTATCCTAATAAAGTAAAAGGATTCTATTTTTTTGTTAAAATGTATAAAGTAGGATTAATTATTAAGAAAATAATTTGCTCTCTTGGGAATAGTACTTATTGAGATCTAAGATTTTCGCGAGTTTTCATTTAAGTGAAACGAATAATTTCGGATTTACTACATAAATATTGTGTAGTAAACCTGAAAATATTAGTTTCATTTAAATAGTGCTTATTATTGAAATCTTTTTATCTATGCGAAATTTCATGTCTTTATCTTTTCTTACTATGAGTTTCAATCGTCAGAATTAAAACTATAATTTCATACATAGACACACATTAATATTATAACTTACTGAGATTTATGAAGGAAAAACTGGAAACTATCTGTATGTAGTTTAAACATAAAAACTGATAGTAAATAGGTATACGATTATCAAGAGACCTATGACGTTCATATACAATATACGCTTTTGTATTAACTACATAAAACAACAAAATAATAAATTTCTTATCTAATTTTAATTATTTTTATACGTCATTCGTATAAATTTTACTATTATTATATCTTATTTCTGTCATCGATATAATATTAGTGTTCTTGTTATTAATTTAGTTTTTGTACATGACGTGAGTAGTGAGAGATAAGAAGTTTTATTAGTGTGTACACGTCCTTATCTGAGTCGGGCCTAATTTTAAACATCGCATGACCTTGAAGCTTTGAAGATCTATTGGGATAACGAATTCGTTTTAGGAGTGTGTACTAGCATAATTTTACGAGTTACGTAAAATACATTATCGTTATATATTTTTTTATATACATTGTCTTTGAAATAATATATCAAAATTAAACGTGTTTGTAAAATAAAGAAAAATCCTTAAATGACTAACATCTATTACTAAGCTAATATAAAACATTAAACTGAAATTAATTAGTTCATTCCTAATAGGGAATATACATAAAATTTTATATGACCTTAAAAATCTCAAATACTTATTACCATCATTTTGTAATATAAAGTTTTTTTATATTTAAATATTATTTAAACCCCTAAAATGATATTAAAATCTGCAAAATAATGAATCGAAATTCAAATTTCCAAAACGCGCTGCCATTGGTCGAACGAAATGTGACGTCATTTTACACGACATTGCATTGATCAGCATCGAAACTCATACAATAAATAAAACAATGATCATTTCACAGAGACTTAGACTCGAGCACCAAAGAGAAGCCAGACATATCAAAGCTCCGTATATCAATCCGGGATGTGACGCACAAGATGGACCTCGCGTACGGGATGCTGGGCTCGCTGTTCAGATCCGGATCAAGGCAGACGTTCTTCTCGTCTCAGGTAATCACTATATATATATAATATTCGTCAGTCCCATTTTGATGAAATCGTTGTATGATGAACTTCAGTCAATATTATACGAGTATATGTTGTTAAATGAAACTAATATTTTCGAATTACTACGCATATCTCCTCCGGTCTGCTCGTGATCACGGTTGCTGAAAAGTAACTGAAACGTCGGTATAATGTAGTTTGAAATAATAAAATATGCAAAGTAATCCGAATAATATTAGTTTCATTTAATTGAATGCTCGGGAATGTAATTATACATAGTGTTATTTATTTTTTAAATTTGGAACTAATGAAAGTACTCGACAGTTGAAGTTTTTTGTGGTCTTTGTACCCTATTCCCCAATTTAGTACATGCAGACAAAGCCACTGATAGAGTCATCAGATAACTATTGTAATCTCCATTTGTTTTTGAAGGCCATTAAAGGGATTTAAATTATAAATTATTGTAATTATAATATAATGTAACATGTCTCCAGTCAGATAAATATTAGAAAAATAAAAAGTAAATTCAAGAAAACTTACTGAATCGACGTGACGTTGCACTATAATGATACATATATGTAACGAATACGAAAACATGTGTGAAATACCGCGAAATCGAACGAAGTTTTTAAAAACACGGGTTCCAAATTTAAAAAGTTTTATGTATAGTATTTGTCTAAAGACAGTACAAGTATCCCTCCGTGTCCAAATGTAATATACGTGTTCCAAATTCAAAATGATAAAAAAGTTTAAACTAAAGAGGTTGTATACGTGTCAGGTGGTGAGGTACGCGGACCTGTACGCGGCGTCGTTCCTCAACCTCATGTACTACCCGTTCTGCTACATGTTCCGCGCCCCGGCGATGCTCATGCCGCACGAGTCCACGGTCGCCCACGAGCAGAGGTTCACCGTGGACACGCCCACCATCGATAGGTGTGTACATAGACGACTGGCTCTATACCTATACTATGAAGTGTGTACATGATTGACTCTATGTGCTATGAAGTGTGTACATGATTGACTCTGTATGCTATGATGTGTGTACATGATTGATTTGGTACGCTGTGATGTGTGTACATGATTGCCTGCAGATGAAACTCCTGTCTACATTTTTGAGTCTATATACTGCGTTCCGTGTACATCGTTGAGATTATATAATGTGATCTGTGTACACATTTCTGTGTATATGCTATGGTGTGTGTACATGAACTTGGGGGTCTATCATATGTACAAGTCTGTGTGCGGGGGTGTGTACATATAGTATACATATATGTACTTGTGATTGTAATTAGTCTGTGAATGCAATTTTGGCTATATGTTTACAGTAATTCGTCAAGAAGATATTCTAAAGAGAAACATAGTGCAAGTTTAAATTTTTTTTAATACATTTTATTTATGAAATTATTAATTTATATAATGATCTTTTCTGTTCATATCTTCAGATCGAGACACTCCAGTTCCCAGCGAGCGTTCAGCGCGGCCTGCATCAGTGAGCTGTCTTCAGAAGAGGCTGATACCGTCGCCGATATTAATGAAGTGAAGGTACATACATATATTGACTTAGAGGCCGTTCAAGTATTACGTAACCAGATTTATTATAAATATTTACCCCTCCCCCCCATCCCCCTTGTCAGCAAAAGTAAGCAAAGCTCTTACCCCCTCCCCCCATGCTAACGTAAACATTTTCAATTACTGTGTTGTTTTTTAAATATAAATCAATGAAAACAATATTTTTTTTATGGATCTTCTCGATGTGATGATTATAAAGTAAATAACTACCGATGACGTAATCATTATCTAGACTCCCCTACCTCCCATGTCATCTAAAATAAGCTAAGCAAAGACCCCTCGCCCCTCCATAGTGCTTACGTAATATTTGAACGGCCCCTTATTAAGTATCTAATATATTCATTTAACTTAAGCGTGAACTTTAATAGTATGGATTTTATTGTATATGTATATAGTGCAACTTCGATATAACAAATTGAAGGGGAACAAAAACATATTTGTTTTATCAAGTAATTCGTTGTATTGAGATGTTTAAATTAGATTGGTCTAAAAATTGTTCTAATTATTCGCAAAAAAATGTTGGTAATGTAATTGTCCATAAGAGTTAATATACTTTATATTAACTTTAAGGATGTATGAGGGCGCGGGTTCGATCCTGGCCTGGGCAAGTACCGATGTGATTTTTCCGAGTCATATGTACTTTCTAAGAGTATTTAGACATCACTGATTAATGCTGATTCCTAAAAGAGGGTTGATGTCAGGCAGGCGGCGGGTCGTAAAAACAAATACCCAAAAAAAACTATTCACAACATGTAAGGCAGACCCTGGCTATAGCTGGGAAATTGCTAAGTAGAAGATGTATGTATGTATGTGTGTTCCAGGTGACCAGCTCCGTCCCCCACACTAGGCCGGAGACTCCCCGCCGCCTGACGCACACACACGACGACGACGGCTCCGACGACGACGACCCCAAGAACAAGTAGACACACACACGGGTCAGGATATACTGGTACATGCTCACTATAATATAGTATAAGTAGACACACACACGCGCACACGCACACGCGTACACACACACACACGCACACACACACGCACACGCGCACACACACACAGGTCAGGGTATACTGGTACTAGTGGTGACCTCTGTGTGTTTGACCTACTCAATATAATATAAGTATTAGAACAATTTTTTGACTGATTATAATGAATAATACTGATACTACTGAGAGTAATAATACTGAGAGTATTTAGAAACACATACGGGTCAGGATATACTGGTTGGTACTAGATGCTATCCCTACTAATATTATAAATGAGAAAGTAACTCTATCTGTCTGTCTGTTACGCTTTCACGCCTAAACCACTGAACTGATTTTAATGAAATTTGGTACAGATATAGAGTTGACCTTGAGAAAGAACATAGGATAGTTTTTATCCCAGACTTATGAAAGGTTCTCTTGGAAACGCGCTGCGGGCGGAAAGCTAGTATAACAATATATTTAACATTTCAGAGCTCGTGTTTCCGTCAGTCTGTGTGCAGTCAATTATGATCCGTGGCCCGCGGAGTTTATACGATATATGAGACTAAAACTAGTGAAAACTAATAATATTTATATCATTTATAATCTCCGCTTCAAGCCGTGAGTTAATATGTCTCCCGGTTCTGCTCGCTAGTTAAGACAATGCTGAACTACCCTCGTATCAAGTTATATTTTTATCTGACCGGTCTCGTCATTATGATTATTATATTGAATAGTGTGATTAATAACTTTCCTTATTATAATTATGTTAATTTTTTGTTGAGATTTTTTTTTTGGTTGTTATCAAATTAAATGATTATTTTTTTTTGTACAAATGTCATTATAATTATGTTGTAACTTTTTTCTGTCTTCAACACTAGTATAGTACAAATGTTGTTGAATATAACATATTGTTTAAATAATTGTGATTGTTGTAGTGATTTTTTTATCGTTTTTTACCTAATCACAAATGAATGTAGCCAAGTATGTAATAAAATTAATATAATATGTGTTTTGTTTTATTATTTTATTACAACAACAGTTCAGAGAGATAGTCTTCAAATTCTTCTTCTCTCGTCTTTTCTTCGTTTTCTTGGGTTCCTGAAACAATATATTGTTTTTAATTTTTAAGATAATGAATGAAAATTTTATTATATATAAAAAACCTTATATTTTTATCATTTCATAGCTTTTACATTAACATGCAATACCAATATTACAATATTCACTCATAAATTTTTTTGGCTTAGAGATATTTTATTCATGGGAATGATTACTGTATAAGGATTTCATATTTCAATATTTTTTTGTCTTTATAATGGACAAAAGATCAAAGATTATATTCTATTCATAAAGATTAAACGCAATTTTAAAGTTTAAAAATAATCATAATAAGTTAATTTAAAATACTTGACAATTTAAGTTTCGTTGTATATTTAAACTACACGCATACCTTTCTTCCACAAAGACTCATCATTGCCAGGGTTCGTCTCTTGGGAAGTCGAGGGTTCTTCAATTTCTGGTTCAATCTCCACTTGTTCTTCATTATCTTCTGAATCTTCGTCTGAAACATTCCTATTCTTCTTCTTCTTACTTTTACGTTTCAATCTTTTAACTTCCCGTTTCTTAGATCTATAATTCAATTTATCCGAGCATTCTGGACATAGGCCTGGATTGAAAAATATATTTTGAAATAATTAACTATTAAATTAAATATACGCTCCCTGTAATACTTTGAATACTAATAATTCAGGTATGTCTTATTATCCGAAACTAATATCTACGTGGTTTCAATCAGACAAATTAAAGATTTTTCCAAAATATTCTTCTGAATATTTCCCATAAGGATATAAATAGTCCAAATATATTTGACCAACAAACCGTCATACAAAACCTAACAATGTAATCACAACTCGTTAATTCCGAATCACAAAACTTATGACCTTGCACCTAATTAGATAAGTATGAACAAATACATTAGGTGTCTAAGTACACAAACAGTGAACTATTTTCGCTAATCGATTACTAACAGTACTGGTTACTCACGTAGTTTAACTAGCGCGTTCTTCTTTACGTTTTCTTCGATATAAGCAAAATTGACTTCCCATGATTTTAAATCGGTGGCGTTATTGCATCTTTTAGCTCCGCACTGAAACTGGCCCTTGCCTAGCACTACTTCACTCTCAACGCGCCATCTTAGAGCGACCTTTAATATATTAAAGTTATTACTTATTATATATACTATTATTAATATATTCTTATATTATTCTTATAATGAGATCTACTCAATTTTCATTTATATTATTAGTTTTTGGCTGTAACTTCGCCTGCGTTAATTTCAGAATTAGAAATGTACCGGGTAACCTATTCCTCCTGAAAGGCAGTATAAGAAGATTTCGGATTTGATCAACTTATTCTGTTTATCTTTTTCAATCGGATGAAAAGTATCATATGTCCTTATTACTCTTGTTCAAAGTTATCACTCCACTAATTTTCAGCTAAATCCGTACAGAAGTTCTTGAGTTATAAATCGTGTACCTAATACGACTTTCTTTTATATATATAGATTCTTGCTTATATAGAACAACAAACGTTTTCATATACTAATAGACTTTATGAAACGGAATTTTTCGAAACAAGATTTGTTTGTAATTCTTCTATAAGATACGATTCTAAAAGAGAATCATACTTAAGAACAATTATGTGTAGATTTACTATTTAATATAAGGTATCAAGACATTTTATATGCCAAACGATTACGGCGTCTTTTATTTTAACCAAATAAATGTCCTTTAAATGTTGTCCTCATCATTCATTTTTAAAACAATATATTCTTTTCTTTCTAATTAACACTATTCCTTAAAATATGATACGAAAGAAACTATATATCACCCGACTTCATGTTCACGCTACGTATAATTGAATATGTCACAGTCAGTGGTTATATCTATGTAAATACCTACTCAGCTACAGTATACAAGGAAATAAATTAGGGCTAGCAAATACAAAGTATGTGTGATATAAGTATATAAGATATCATCAAAATGACGTTCGTAGTTACTCTGTAAATCACAAATTACGAATTCCTAAGAGGATTTTAAAAATATGTACGTAGGTAAAATATTTAAAGTCAAATTCAGTAGGTTTTAAAAACGTTGTACGCCGGATTCAAGTCATTCATGGACTTTTCTATAATTAGTCATTCCTAATACAGCTAGATGCGTATATCTGTATTATCAGTGAGTACAGACTGTAACTTACGTAAATAATAATAATACAATAAATATATTCTCAACTTTAATCTCATAATTAACAGCCGACTAATTAATGTTATATTTGTTTACCAATAATTATATTTCCTTTTTTTCTATATCTTCTATACGAAAAGATGAATTATAAATATATGTACGTTATATTACAGTGTGGAAGGTTAACGTTAACAGAATATAGCCATCGGTTCGTGCGTTACTCGTTATAACAAGGAATATGAACAGATGTCAGTATGTTCGCAACGTGGGACGCTGCGCTATATTTAGCCCACAAAAAGGCACTAAGGCTATTGTATTTCTCCCCGACGCGACGCGGACAAAAGAAGGTCTCTAGGGCAAAAAAGGCAATTGAATTTCATAGGGGAACGTCCCCATTACATCCTCGACTGGGGGAGAGTAAAGCACATAAATTATCTCCCTTGTATAACCGTTACTATTTAACAGCATATTCCCTTTCACAGAATCCTAACGGTCGAAAACGATTGTAACACTATTAGAACTTCCGTAACTTACTTTATTCTGCTTGTACATGCTCAGATCGCATATACAATATTCTTTGAACAGTTTATCGTAATATTTCTTAGCCAATTGCTTTTCCCACGTGTCGGCGACCTCATCGTCTTCCCATAGAAATTTGTGGTTATCCCTTATAACATCGATGTCCGTTCTATCTTTGGAAGTGTCCCGCCTCAACATACACGTGGAACCCTTAGCGGTCAAACAATAAACGTTTACTAGATACTTATGTAATTCATACGGATTAAGATTACGCAACCTCGAAGACATCGCTAGCGTAACACGTAACCTAGAACAAAGGGAAATTAATTATATTATAAATAAATAAAACATAGATTTCAACAAACAACTCTTTAATAAAATCGACAATTATTACATATTATATATTTTAAAAACAGTTTATAATTTCTTATAATGCTCCTTAAACTAATTGTCATGAAGTATTTATAACAAGGTGCTATTCAAGTAAAGGCTTCCATAAATATAAGTTAAATTTGTGCAAGTTTTAATATCTACTCTGAATATTATTGTCAGTCTTGTAGATTTTTGTGTATTATCATTTGGCTCGATATCAATCCTTAATTCTATGAACGATTCATGCATCTAAAAATCTAGTTATTTATTTTTTAAATAGAATAAATATATTTAAATGTAATTATTGCCTTATACTAAAATATATAAAAAAAAAATGTCAATATATTAATATGGTATTGAAAACCAGTAAAATAGTAAAGTGGCACAATTGAAAATATATATATAATTAAATAGCTTTGGTTTAGTAGCCAATTACATCTTTGGAATAATAAGTTATAAAAACATTTAAAGAACTCCAATATGATTCACATTATAAAACATTTGACTATGTCACTAAGAGCAAGACGTTCCACAAAATATTAATTAATTGATACACTGTGATGTTATACATTATAATTTAAATTAGACTAAACATAAACTAAATTACACTAGTTGTTCAAAATGGCTTAAATATAATGATTCTGAGACCATCGGAACAGGAAAACATCTAAACAGTGCCTCGACAGGTTCTACATACACTTGTTATAAAAAAACAATATCAATAATCATAATTTAGTAAGACTATAATTTAATAATATTCTAATGTATTCATCTAATATCTAAAAATATATTTGGTATTATTTCCGTAAGCTTACTGTTAAGATAGGCACATTAGAATATATTGCTTTGGTTGCAACAGTTCTATAAGAATCACATGTAAAATGTAAATACTTATCTAAAAATTTGGCAAAAATGTATACTTTACACCCGATAAAACACCTCGTCGTGCTAAAGTTTTACAAAAATATATACTTATTAAAGCTCTTAGGTGTAGCAGGAACAATTATTATATTTTTATTTGTGACAGAGTATAAAAGGCCTCAAACACTAGGCATCATGTTTTATCAAATATGATACAGCACAGCTATCATAGAGTAATTGGGTATGACCTACATCATATGAAAAAATATCACCTTATCATATCTATAAGGCAACTTTGGATAAAGATATGTGTGACAATATATTAAAGCACCTGAAAAGGCTCATTATAAATATCCCAAACATGCATTTATAATTGCATATATATAAAACCTTATGTATAAAAGCATCTAGAGCACACCCAGTGTAAAGACATTCCCATTAACACACCGTAATGACTAAGTTATTAACTAGACAGCGGATTACTCCATTTGGTATAAAACAATGCATAATTTGACTTAACAAACATATGACTAAAATTTTTGGCAATTAGAGAATTGGAAACGAAAATTATGTATATAAAGCTATCTTCACAAACAAATCGGCGATGACATAATTAAATAACGACCAGAGAATATACAATGATCGTGTGATGATTGTGTGTGAATCTTTTCACAGGTTTCCGAACCCTATCGGGTTTCATCCGTGGGTTTTTTCGTGTTTCTTCATGTTGTCGGAGCGAGTGAAGGCCTTGTCGCACACACCACAGTAGTAGGACTTCTGTTTTGTATGCACCGTCATGTGACGGGACAGTTCACTCTTTGTCACAAACTTTTTCTCACAAACCGTGCACGCGTGCTTGCGGACGTTCAGATGAAACTTCATGTGTATCGATAAAGAACTGGACTGGGAGAAGGCCTTGTGGCAGAGCTCGCATACAAATGGTCGTTCACCTGTGTGCTTTCTCAAATGATTCATAAACCCTGTTTTAGTGTAATCTTTTTGGCACAGATGACAGAAGCTCGACTTGGAGTCGAGCATTCCGGGGAAGTGGTTGTTCATGTGCTTTCTCAGTTCCCAGTAACTCGTGAACTTCTCGGCACAAACATGACAAGGATACTTCTTTTCTTCGATTTGCTTCACACTACACTGATGGGAAGACAGTTGTTGTTCACTGGGAAACATTTGGTTGCATTGGCTACATACATGACTAGCCTCAGAGTCCGTTGACAGAGTGACCTCTAAATAATTCTCAATGGACATTACGTTTCCATTCGAGCTGTCCGCGTCATCGTTACTCTGGGACACTGGATCGTTTTCGGTCATTTCATTATCAGTAATGTCTTTGGTATCCATTTTCACTAAAAAATCCGTATAATGCAGTAGGCCTTTACCTGAGTTGTTATTGTCGGGTTCTACGAGACTTAATACAGGCGACGCGCTCTGTTCTCTGTCCGGTGACGTTTTCTCATTGTCAGAGTTTTCGGGTTTAGAGGATACGTTATTGTCTGATTCCCAGCCATTTTCCACTATTTCTACGTCTGAATCCCAATCTTCGGCACTTGAGACCGAGTTGTTGACTAAATGGAACCCGATATCATCGAAACGCAACACATTAGGTGGGAGCTTAACCCCCACTATAGCCTGAATCGCCTGCCATGAAAGCTCCTGGGGGTTGTTCTGCATATTAAATCGCACTACTATAACCTACAAACGAGTTTTAGATATTACAAGAAATATTTTTTTAATCTAATAATAAATATTAAGAGAAACATGATTTTTACCTGATATGTGCACAATTTTGGAAATAAATAAGCAGATGACACTTATAATCTACATCTAAAAATATTATGCTATACACTGCACTTCACTGCTCTATATGGATGCGTCTTTGTCATTGAATTTGAAATTTAAAAATGAAAAGTCAAACTCACAGATGAAATAGAGTTGCATCAAAGTCAAATCAGAATACAATTTATACCAAATCTTCTGTAAATATTTACAATAAGTAAAAGTTAATGATTTTCGAAAAATTATTGAGAGTTTGTTAGATATAATTACATAATTACCAATTCATTAATTCGAATGTTTACTTTGTTTAATGTTGTTTATTTTTATAATCTGATATGTTAATTTGCTACTGATGTACAAAATGTCTGAAAGTAATTTGTTACAAATATTTTAAACCACTTTCTAAATCATATAAAATATTTCGGAAGTGAATTTGATAAAAATTTTACGGTATAAAAATGTAAGATAATTAAAATGAGAGAAGGAAAAGATTCAATTTTATAATTATTTTACATACCTATTTGTTTTCATATATGTTATGTCAGTTTTTAAAGCCTTATTATAAATAAACACTTGCCTATTGTTAGTAAAAACTTTTTGGTATTTCTATTGTGTAAGATGTATCTGATAGGATTAAATTTATAATCAACAGGAAATCCTAAAAAGTAAACTAAGATGATGATGTTTATAATGAAAAAGGTAAAACAATGATATTTACTTATTTAAATAAGGGAATTGCTATTAAAAGTTGCTAACTGCTCAAAGATATGAGTCTACACTGTAAGTTTTCCAATTTGACAATGTACACAAATGTCAAGTCTTAACAGCTTTCAAAAGTTCAAAATACTGTACAGTGTGTGTTGTATATTGAATATTAGAATTTTAGGCGGGATGATTATAATACATTAGTAAAAATATATTACCTTATAAATGAAATTTTAAATTATTTCTTAAAGCAAATCATTTTATTTTTAAATGGATTCACTAGACGCTCTCCAGGACTTTATAAAGTCACAAAATAATTTTACGAATTATATTAATAAATCCAATGTGCCCGATGTTTGTAAATCTGAACCTTGCATGCTTGGTGTGGATGAAGCTGGACGTGGACCTGTTTTAGGTAAGAAATGATGCAAAGATTTTTATATTTTTAGGTATTACTTGTCACTAGAAATTCGATATATGTAATTAGTACATTTCAAAATCTCGTTGTTTATATTATTTTTAGGTAGTTTTCTTTTAATTAACGTAATATTATGCTCGTCGACCGTAGAGAATAACAGAAACTTGTAAATCATATTCTATTTTCTCAATTCCAGGTCCGATGGTATACGGAATTGCATATTGTCCGATAAATCAAAAGAAGGTATTGGAATCGCTCGGCTGTGCGGATTCAAAAGCTCTTACAGAAGAGAAGAGAGATGATATTTTACTTAAAATGTTAACCGAGAAAGAAGCCGTTGATAATGTTGGCTGGATCGCTGAAGTTATATCACCAAATTATATCTCAAATTCCATGTATAAAAGAGCTAAACATTCTCTTAATGAGGTGAGGCTCGGTCACTGCTACATTTGTATACAGTATTTATTTAGAAACAAGCCTAATTTCATATAACTTTAACCATTGGGCAACTGCAAACATTGCTATTCCAGTTATAGTTAGCATGTTATAAGCAATACCTATTGGGAAACCGTGAATGCTGAATGAATAATATGAATAGAGGAATCCTAATTAATATTTAAAATTAGCGCTACACTATATATATCAAGGTTTAATTATTAAAAGACTTACATTATGATCTAGTCTCAATAACATGTTTCTTAGTAGAATTTTCACTTGTATCTTTTATTTTTGTATATTATAAGGAAACTTTGGCTTTTTAAAGTCTTTAGGTTGCTGTAAACTCAATAAGTTCATAACTTATTATTAAAATAGTCTAATAAAACTTCACTAAAAGACATTTATTCATTATATGTATGAATGAAATGTAGATTTATTAAGTTATCAATACTTTTTCTGCTGGAAAGCTAATAATCTTATTCAATTATAAAATGATAATGGAATTAAATAAAAAATGTAATAGGCTATAATATTGTTGTAAGATATTTATATATTATTTAATTATTAATCTATGTGAATTTAATTTCAGGTATCAATGAATTCTGCGATATCCTTAATAAAGAAATCAATTGAATTAGGTGCAAATATAACTGAGGTGTATGTTGATACTGTCGGCCCTCCAGAGAAATATCAGGCCAAGTTAAAAGAAATATTCCCCGATATTAATATTACCGTGAGTTATAACATATAATATTAATTATATATTAATTCATATGAATTAATGATTGTAAATATATTTCTGTAGGATCCAATAAAACTATATTAAATTCATAATATATGTATTGTGGTGAGTAGACAAACTGAATGACAAAACTTAAAATAATAAAGTGATTTACCTACCACTCGAAAACATTATGACATAGTCACATCCACTTTCAACTAATTTTAATTTAATATCACCATTTAATTAACAGAATTTTAACAACTTTATTTTAATAACTTTGTTTACTATTAAAAATATACTATCATAGTTTTAATAATTTTGATATGATTATAATTTTTTTTGGGTAAGTAACAACATTACTAAAGAAGATTCATATTTTTCTTATATAACTGGATTTTATTGTATAGTCAAATATGAAATATAAATTATAATTAATAACCACAGGTCAAAGAACAAACCCAAAATTTTGGTCATCTATTTTCATTAAATTCATAATAATATATATTACATTTACAAATCATATTAATTCTGAGTACTATTAAAAAGAAAATAAAACTAAAATTATCTACTATTAATAAGTTTGACGTAATTTTCATTGTAATGTATGATTGTTTTTGTTATAGGTGGCAAAAAAAGCTGATTCTATTTACCCAATAGTTTCAGCGGCTAGTATAGTAGCTAAGGTGACGAGGGATCATGCTCTCAAAGTTTGGGAATTCCACGAAGGTCTTGAAATGAATTATAAAGATTTTGGAAGTGGTTATCCTGGAGGTAGGAAAATTTTTATTCTATATATTCAAATAATTGATTGTTTAATTAATGAATGAATACAATGTGTTATATAAGAGTTACAAAACTTATTTTGTTTTTGCCGTCTTTGAGAATAAATTATATTACTGTGACATATCTGCCTCATTTTTTTTTGGGTCTCTTTATACCTGAAGTGCCCATAAGGGAGTCAAAAAAGTTCTTTATATAATTTCTATAATTGTTTAACATTTATGTATTTTATTAATCTTGTTAAGAAGTTTTCTTAAAAGTCTTAACTTAGATGATATTATACTTCTAGATATTTGAATTTTTAATTACTCTGCAATCAGAATGTTTCTAATTAATTTTCAAACTATGAAAAGTTTATTTTTATGAGATTCCAGAAACAAATCTTTGCTCAAATAATTTACTTCTTTTAATAATATTCCTTTTAATATATTTGACTGTTATAAAATAAATTTTTAAACGAGAATTAGACTTCATATAAATAATGGAATATAATATATTGTATGAAAAACTTACATTACCGGTACAAATTTTACATTATTTTACCTGATTTAAGGGATTGAAGAAACTTGTAGATTAATCTAAATTTAGACAGATAGACAATTTCTCTTATGCTTTACTTATCTTTTTATTTTTTTATAATATTTAAAATAAGATTTATTTCGACGAAGAATTTTAGTTTCCAAATTTCTGTTCCCAGATCCATTGACTAAGAAGTTTATAAGGGAACAGATTGACAGAATATTCGGTTACCCGCTATTGGTAAGATTTAGTTGGTCCACGGCTGAATTAGTTCTTCTAGAGAAAGCAGCGAAGTGCAGCTTCGAGGAAATAGACGATGAGATTACAAAGAAACCGAAGGGAACCCAAGCCATTAGTTCGTTCTTCTCACCAAAGAACGAACGGAAACGGAAGAGACATAAATTCTTCGAAGAAAGAAATCTGACTATGAGCAATGCTTTTGAATAAAAATACGAATATTATATGTGTTTTAATACTTTATTGGCCTTCTAAAATATAAATTATATATGTTTATGAAATTCTTATAATAAATTAAAAAGTCCGTGTATGTTTGAGTGTTTTTGGAAATATTAATAATCTGGATTCCTGAACATATTTTAGGCTAACATTTATAAAACAAACTTTTTGTTACTAAATCCTTTTTATTATAATACATCTGTTTAATCATACTGAGAGAAAATAAAATTACACGATATTGCAAAATATTACCACTTTTTTAAAGTTATTTAATTATGAAAGTGTTTCGTTATTTTCAGTCTTATTAAGATTTCTTTGACTTGAGACTTTTCATTGGGTTCAAATTTGCATTACCACACTACATAACTAGTAAAAGTTCTTCATTCATAGTCTTCTCATAGTATTAGGTAGGTTATTTAATGAGATACTGAAAACGCTATACACACATGCACACACACACATATATATTTATGTGTGTGTAATGAGAACTAAAATTTTCGCGAGTATTCATTTAAATGAAAGTAATATTTTTCGGATGTACTATTCGATTTTTATTTTTGATTATAAACTACATACTCCCGACGTTCCGGCTACTTTACAGCAACCGTGATCATGGGCAGACAAGATAATGACATCTCAAAAATAAAAATCGCGTAGTACTTCCGAAAAATATTAGTTTCAATTACGTGTGTGTGTTTTACTAGCTTCAATACCGTTAGTGTTAATTGTACGTTTTCAAGTCATGTTAAAAATCACAATGCTGATTAAGTGATGGAGAAAATGCATTGAACAGTAGAAATCGTGAATGTTAAATGCAGTACGTAGCTCCTAAGACGGCGCCGCTCAATACATAACACCGCGTTGGATGACTTCCAAGCGAATATTTTCGGCAAATGATTTTGACCAAAATTTTGGACAACTTTCGAAAATATAAGAAAAGTAACATCCGGTTGAAATCTGAATAATCTTCAACGAAATTGTCCCATGTATATTATGTTAGTTCAGCCATTTATAATAATAATGCATCGTTGACAGTAAGGCTAATAGTTTTAATTTTGCATATCTTTATTGTTTTATTTATTCGGTAACAATGAACGCGGTGAAGTTAGCACTCCGGGTGCCATTACCTTATGTAAGGATAGGTAGAAAGTCTTTCACAAGCAAATAGCTGGCTATTAGAGATTCGTTTGTGCGATGAAAGGCTGTATGTCATACGTCGATCCTCGAAGGCGACTCCATTAGCATGCAAGGGGCGCCTCGCTGCCTACTTACGATGAGCAATGCGGAACACTGGGGTCACTCGGAGAATTTAATTGTGTTCCATTATCATATTTAGGCTCTTTTACGGTAACTCAAAAGTGAAAACTGTATGGGATACGAGTTCGCGTGTCATTCGTCAACTGCGATCGATGGAGACAACTTCCTTGCAAGTTGCTGAAGATTAACGAAATGGCGCTTAACAGACTGTGCTTTGTGTTCGCGATATTGACGTGTGTTTCGGCTATAGTTGGCCCGGCAGCTAATAGCTCTAAAGTAGTCGTTGTTACTAAAGCAGATACTTACCTCGACGCGTATTCGAAATCGCGAGTAGACGCAGAGGAAGCTAAGAAAGGTGTTGTTATAGTAACGGCCAGAGACGGCGAAAAGAAACTGACAAATCGTGATGATAGTTACAGTGGATACGATTACACGCCATCGTATTCAAGCGGTGATAGTTACTCATCAGGACCATCGAACAGCTATTTGCCTTCAAGCAACCATGGGCCGGTGAAATTTGAGCCAGAAATCACGTATAATGCTCCCGCGAATACATACGGGCCACCGTCTTCAAGCTATGGACCTCCATCATCCAATTACGGTCCACCTTCAAGCGGCCCATCGCCTAGCTATGGTCCACCACAATCTTATGGGCCTCCAACACCTGTATATGGGCCTCCAATACACAAACCCTCACCTCCGCCCTACGGTCCACCTCTGAAACCGTTCTATGGTGTCCCATACACCGCGCCCGGTCTCAGTTTCTTCGACAAATTATCATTAAAGTTAGACATCCTGACCATCGCTAAACTGATGCTTAAGTTCCTTATATTCAAGAAGATTGTTACCATGATCGCTGTAGTGTGCATGCTACTCGTTATACCTAAATTAATATCTTTTAAAAAAGATAAAACTGGTGACGAGGGCGGCGATGAAGATGAACGTAGATTCGGTGGAAGACATCGTAAGTACAAATATAACAATTCTTAAATAAATTGAATTTATTGTCAAGATTTTAATGACCATTTTATAAAGATCTCATTAATGTAAATAATTTGGTACAGTTATGGAGTTAACCTCAGCTCAACAATTATTGGACCGCGCGATGTATGTGTACGGACACCAGCGGCCGGACTGCGGGTTCGCGTGTCGCGTGAGACGCGTTTTAGACGATGTATACGAATATCAACCTTATTTCAGGTAAAAAAGTCTTTTAATTGTTCGCATCTAAAAAATCTATAACTCTCATGGTATTTTCAATCTTATTTCCATATAATTAATGTATAATTTTGCTTAGTTAAATATTTATTTTACTTTACACTGTTTTAGTATTACAATTGTTTGTAAATTGAGATTGCACCTTGCTCATTACTAATAGTTTAATAGTTGCTCAATTATGTGAAATTGTTATTGATACTTAAGTTATTACTTTATATAAACGATAAAATACCTTTGACAATTTTCTTTTTGATAATATATTGTGTACGTCACGATTTGTTTTTTTTTTCAGAGGCAGTCAAGCAACTTAATTGAAGACGAGGAACGGCGTCTTGGTGCCATTCAAGCATTTAATATTAATAAGTACTAATTTATTGTTCTATTTATTTTTTTATATAAGTTATTGTTGATATTAAATAAATATATCGTTCAAATATTTTTCATTCAGCCAATCTACATTTTACAATACAATATAAAATAAAACAAAAAATTCGAATACCTAATAAAGTTATACTAAATTTAATTGCGTATGAAACAATTTGTTGTAATTAATATTTTAAATTGTAGTAATGAGAGAAAATTGATGTTTCCTGAAAGTTACCTTGAAATTAATAAAAAAATATACTAGCAACATTATGTGTTAATTCAACAATTAAAACGCCACAATTGAAATGCACTTCCAATCGTTTTAATGTTTTGTTGTATTTAAATATTGCGATAATATATAATAACTAGTAATTAATTGTATCCATTAAAGAATATTTTTTCGCCTATATTTGTGACACGACAAAAATCATGAAATATCATTTATGTATTTAATTTTGTTTACTAGCAATATTGTCACAACAAAGTTAATCGTATACATTAAAACCTTTTTAAAAAAACCTTTTTGCATTACGAAATATTTTTAAAGTCATAGAAAAGAATTGTTTTTTCTTATGAAAGATTGATATCACATCAGTATAGTTCATTATTTTGGTGAAATCCACTTTCCCCTTATCAAAAAACTTGGTAGGTTAAATTTAAACAATGCCACACATGATACCGTTGAACGAATACTTAGAATACTGATGAGACTGCATAGACGTCGTCATTTAGAAAACAAACGATAAATTACAATTACTTCCTCTACTTATTTGTTAGTTTTGTATTTCGTAATGGAGATGCGTGGAGTTACGTAAAAATTTGCTAATTTATTTGTGTGTTTCTGATTTAATGTCATTGAAATTCCAGATCATTTATGTAATATTTACGAAGAATTTAATGTACCTACTTGTTTTAAATTGTTTTAGAATGCAAATTCGTTCTATCATTAGTTTAGTTTAATTCGCATTTTGTTTAAATAAAACAATGAAATCACACATAATAACTTCATTGCAATCCCTTCTACACAATTATTATGCGATTGATTCACCAAAAACTATTGTTATACTTCAAAATATACAAATAATGTTTCCTATTAAACTTCTTAGAAATTAGTTATAATAAAAATGTTTAATTGGCGTGAATTATCCTTATAGCGACCGAGTGGCATCTAATCTTGGCCACCTATTATACATTTGTACATCCTTTGGATAATTTGAGTCAATTTAAGCAATTGAAGCCGGGTGTATCGGGAGATTTAACAAACTAAAGTAATACCACATGGATTTATAATGTTTTATTGGATATAAATCAGATTTAGGATTGCTATGTACCAGTTATGATGCGTGTTTGTAAAAGATATTATAAAAGGTAAAGATAGTATTAAAGATCATGAATAGTATGGAAATTATTCGTTTATCTTAATTTATTTGTACGTACGTGATAATAAGTATACTATGAACCTTTAGGTAAGTTATTATAAGGCATCTACAATATGCCTAGTTCTTTAAGTATTATGTTGTAAATGATAAATTATTTCTCGTTTATTAAATTAATTTTAGTTGACCCACATTTTATACATACAAAAAATAAAGAATAATATAAAATTAATTAATGTATTAAACAGTGAAAGGCGTGCTACGAACATAAAAAGAATATAAAAATTTTTCAACTTTCCCGTACTTGTTTATTTGAGAGAACAATGCAATGGATCCCGTAGTATTTAGATGACTCATCGTAGTTTAAGCAAACTTTTTCCCATGAACGCATTTCCTATATTCCAGGGTTTGATAGTTAGTTCCTAGTGTAAATAGCTTCAAGCGACACGACAATGAACTTGGCGGAAACCATTGTCACGCCCGCACCACAATGATGCTACGATAAACAGCTATTATACTTCTAAACTAGGACATACTGTTTACTATTCTATCAAAATATAAAAAAAATCACATAAAATACACAATAACTTTCTTACAAAGATGTAAAAGTATGAATAATTTTTTTTAATTATATACTTGAGTCTTGAGGTCAACGGACTCAAACTTTTTTTTTTGTTAAAGTAAATAATCTAACGTTTAAAGTATACAGCCAACATCGTAGTTGGATCTATTTAAAATGTATGTAAAACTTTTTGGTCATTATAGTCTGGTGTATGATTCTGGGTGAGTCAAGTGCAGGTTTATTCGCCTGGAACGCGGGCTCATTGCGGGATCTACACGTGCCGTAGTCACACGTGTTTATGTGTCGTGTGTACCAGCCTTTAGGTCGAGTGTGAAAAGTACTAACAGTTACTACCAAAGGACATATTTAAAAGTAAGTTTTTCATTCACTTCTATACCTGAATCACGTGAATAAAATGCTTCGAATATCTTACTGAAGGTCGGGCACAATATCCCAGACATTTTATATATAGACACTCCCGTCCAAATTCTTTAAATGACGAATATTCAAATATGGCTCATAATATCTTAATTATTCTGCCATGAAGCAAAAAATGTTCAATAATAGACTCTCTAAATTATTAATACCAAAATATTTTTGTCTTCAACAATGCAATTATGATTATAATGATACAAGTGAAAAATCAATTAAATGCTTTAAATTCATTTACGACTTTCTTATCATTAAACCAAAGCATTTCACACTTTTATGATTAAGACCCAAATTAAGTCAATATTCGTTTTGAAGAAACATTTCAAATATATAAAAGCTCACTAAAGGATTAAAAAAACATAAAAAAGGATAAACTCTGTCAGGCATTTTTAAATATATTTTTATCTAAATTGCAATAACAATAAACTTAGCAGATAATAAACACTCTATTGTAGTATGCGTAATAGTAAATCATTGTCAGGTGTTCCAATCAAATGGTTAAACAAATTAAAACATATTTTCTATACATACGTAATAACTATAAAAGGAAAATAGTTTTTAATTATATATAAAAGAATCATTTAATATTAAAATAACTGTATATTTTTTTTATTTCGTCTATACGGAGAAAATAGTTTAAATTAGAATGCCGAAACATATAGGACCTACATGCTCAACGAAGCGATTCCCACAGATTATGTAATGGATTCTATCATGGTAACACCTTAGAAGGGTTTAGAATAAATTATATTAAATAAATAAGTACAAATAGATCCTATATATATTATTTATATAGTTTTTTAACTAATATACATTTTCGTAATACATGAGTTAGTTATATCGGCTATGTTATGTTATCATTTAAATTTTAAATCTTATCAAATTTTATCTTACACGGTACGTACTGTGTTCAGGTTTGAATCGGTTTTCGTAGTGTTTTTTGAAGGTAAACAATCTAGAGCACTCTCTGCTCTTAGATCAAAGTGACTAAAACTAATATTATAGTGTTACAAACTTTGTAATCACTAATTTAAATTAATTTCAGTGATAGTTTTTTATAGTTATTCTTATTTGCAAAAAGATATTCGTAATATTAATAATAAAATAATGTGATTTAAAGAATATATCCATAGTTTTATGTAATACGTTCAATGAAATGTTTTTATTAAGAAAATGGATTAACTATGAATAATCCATCGAAGTTTTGAGGTAAGAAAACGTTTTTATATTCAGCCAGAGACGATTAAGATACGATATTTCTTTTTTAAACTTATAGCGTATATAAAAGGTGTATTATTATTGAAAAAATATTATATACTTATGTAAGTAAATTTCGTTGTTAGACGGCTAAAGGAGGCGGTGTATAAATGTAGGAAGGACGTCATTATAGCACGCTGAGTAGAAATCGCCTTTGCATCCTTTAGAAAGAACGTACATATCATTTAAATCGAACGTTTCGTTTATGCTTTGTATTTATTTTATCCGAATTATTTGTTTATAAATAATGTCTTTCATTACAGTGTCGAAATTACCGATGTCTTCAGTGAGGAAAGACGAAGTCTAAATTAATGTTACGTCACAGTTGATAAAAAAAATAACGTCACAGATAAGATGAGAGAATTAGGCGCGAAGATGAGGGCGCTGGAATTGCAGCGTCTCATTGAAAACAAAGTGTCCGAGTGGCGCGAAAGGTCGGCGAGGGTCGCGGGCGCGAGTATGGCCGACTCTTATCAGCAGCCACACTTCAAACGACACACGAACAGGCGAAGGAACAACGCTGAAATAAATAGAATTATCGCAAAATACTCCAAGAACAATAAGAGGGCGGACGAACGATTCGAAGTGGAGAGCTTACCGCCAGTACGTCCCGCGAGGTACAAAAACAAGTCGAACGTATTGAAAGCATCGAAAAGTGAAGATAATTTAACCAATATACGTGTCATGGACTCTCGCCCGGACCCAGCGTCTAACGAGCGAAGATTCGATCTATCTAAATACAGCACCAAAAGTTGTGAGGATATAACCGCGTTTGTGGACTTCGGGCACACAATGAAGAGCAAGAATTTCGAGGAGAACAGCATATTAAACTCCAAGTCAGTCCCAGCAAGACATACTCTTCATAGTATTGACGAAGACATGTCAGATATATCAGAGTTCAGTGATAGTGGTGTGAGTGTGAGGTATAAAACAAAGTTCGCAACATCAACGCCTCTGTCGAATAGAAAAACCTGTCCTGCCGACTCAATGTCAGTGATAGAATTCCAAAAGTGCTCTAATTTTCCATCCGTGAGTGAATTGAGAAAAGGTTCGTCTGATCCGGATATAATTAGCGAGAAATCTATAAATTCAAGTTGTACTCTAGATTCACGTAAACGTTGGAAGTTGCTTAAACCACAGTTTCGCAAAGGGACATTTGATTGTTTACTCCGCTGGCGTGGAAAGAAACCGAACACCAATCAAAGTAGGTGAGTGATTCATGGCGTTATATTTATTTTTGGACTTATCTATTAACATATACTTTAATGGAGGTCATTATAAGATGATTTTTAATGATTTTTATATTGGTTCGAACGGTATGAAAGACGTTTGGGTGACACTTTTATGCGTTAATTAAAATAAAGATGAAGAACTCGTTCATTGGAAAACTAGCGGTTTATGATTGGACCTGTTCCGTACTTGCAACTAGACTATCTAGACTAGAGAATAATTACTGATCTAGAATTAGAAGATGAATTTCAAGTAACAGATACAAACGGACGTACATTATTAAGGGATTATTAAAAGTTTTTATCGCGCTCGTGCAATATGTAATCATAATTATTCAATATATTTATTACCAATCAAATCGAATAATCTGATGAGATTTAAATATCTGTTTTAATTATTACAGTCATATTTTTGTTTTTAACAACATATAAATTGATAATGTCAAAAAAAATAATTCACGAGTTTTTTTGTGTTGTCTGTGCAAAATAACGTAATTGTTCAAATTTAATCTATATCGTTTTATTAGACAAATGTTTAAAAATAATGAATTTAATAAAATTAAACGTAATTTGTATTCATAGTATCTTATTAATTCAAGTGTTAGATAGAGGTGTAGCCATTACTTCTCGAAATTTATCATGTTGAGTGCATTTGAACAAGCTTTGATTGTTTTATCCAACAGCAGCTGTCAGTTATAAACAAATATACTTATATATATATATGTATGATAATTAATTACTCGTAATAATTATATATCACAGTAAGAAGTTAAGATAACTGCGTCTCGACTTGACTTTGTCGAATTGAGGTCGTTTTGCTTTGTTTTTGGTATCTACATAGTTAATTATAAAATATATGAACCAAAATGGTAGTTAGCAGTAACTAAGTAATTTAATCATGTTATTAGACTTAAATTTGAATTTTGGTAATATTTATTACGTAATATATTATATAGTATAAAAGTACTATATTATAGTCATATAGTACTTATATGGTGTTGTGCAACAATTTCATAGCCTATCATCTTAAGTTTTTATATGATAACAAACAAGTGTGTAGATTTTATTCTAAGAACGCTGATATATTTAACATACATAATATAATACGTTGACATAAAATTTACTTAAAATATTAATAGGTTTGGCAAAACTTTCAAATAATATTAATAAAAAACCTAAAAAAAATCATGCATATTATTGCAGCATACTGATTGTCTACGTTGTTATAAGTGCCGCCAAAAGATGGCGCTATTTATAATATTCAACAACGTCATCAAATCCTAATAATTTTCTATAAGATTAATCTGTTCACACATCGTTAGATGACACCTCCAAATTATTTTCCACTTTTTCAAAGCATTTCATGATTAAAAATCTAAATACCTACTATTCGGCAAATTGAAAAAACGTCACGATCCAACGCTTTCCAACTTCTGATATTTTTTTATATGCATAATTAAAATACAATAAAATAATGATGTTATGGTAGTTTTTCTATACATTTATTACATTGCCTATAAGTTTTAGATTTACAAGAGTTCATAGCTCATATTGAGTTCGTCCGAGGAATCCCAATCACTACGTCCAAACTTTAGTGTCATAAATTCAACTTGAAATACACATCATTTAGTAATTATTAAATTTTATTCAATTCTTCAATACATAATTTCTTATATTTAATAAGAGGGTACTTATGGTGAAAAAAAAATTGTAAGCCCTCAAAGCGCATCCAATGTTTTCTTTTTTTTTAAATAAAAACTAATTTAATTCATAATGTCTTCAAATGAACTTGCGTCATAAAATAAACAAAACTATTTTTTTTTATTATATAAATGCAAAATGTCTTTACACGTATTTTTTTTTATAAATTCATTGTATTCTATGAGTTGTAATACAAAGATTACTTGATTAAAAACCCTGAAGATCTTTCAATGGGGTTATTACGTGGTTATGTCGTCTTGCTATTGTTGATAAAAATATTACGATCATCAGGTTTCCCGCGCAATGCTTTCTCAAATGTTTAGTCTTTTCTTTTGAATAAGTCAATTTTATGAGTAATGGAATTTAAATTGACTAGTATTTATTAAAGTTTGGAGAGTATTAAAATATATTTACATGTATAGTTAGTTAAATTAAAAAATAGTTCCCAAGCGTCACTCACACAAACACAAGTCTAAAACAATAAATTGACTTCTGTCATTAGCATGGCTACACACGCCCTCTGACCTTGAGGCAACTCGACATACCGGCCACAAGTATTTTTTTATAAATATTTATTTGTACACAATGCATTTAATAAATCTTTTATTATTATGACATGAACGTTTTTTAATAATTATTAATTTATATATTATTTAGAGAGTCAAAAATACTAAAGTTCTAGTATTTAAAATTAGATATGTTTGCTTAATATAAAAGAAATTTCGTGATTTTAATTTTGTAGTGGGAAAAATTAATGAATAGTGTATCTTTTGGCTTCGAGTACATTTTTTCCACGTTGATTAAAGTCGGCTTCCATAAAGATCGTATCTCATCAGTCATTCTCTTAAACACCATGAATGAAAACGTTTGTATTTTTTTGTAGGTATGTGTGTGTGTGTGTGCGTGTGTGTGTGTGCGCGCACGTATGTATGTGGTTATGTGTGCACATGTTTTACACCCAAGCTAGATCTACCAAAACTATTATTTCGCGGAAAATTTAATTTGTACTGTCTATAGTACTGTAATAATACATAATTGCTGTATGGAGAATATATTAGTAAAACCCAGTATGAAAATTTCCTTAACACGATATCATATACTTTTTCATTTTATTTATTCAAAACTAGGAACTTAATTAAAATAAATAGCGCAGATGTTTAAAAAGGAGGTTCATTTAACTGATAATCTGACCCCTTGATAATTTTTATAGTAATTTTAAGTACAAATATTGCCCTATACCAAAAAAGTTTCTGCGAACTAAATTCGAAGAGATTTCAAGATTTCTACCATAACCTATTACCTATAAATTATACTGGACGAAGGTTTATGGCAGTAAAACAAGCAAGGTTGCGTATTTCGTATCTTGGTGGAGTCTTTTAGCAAGACATAAGTAATGAGATCTAAGATTTTCGCGAGTATTCATTTAAATGAAACTAATATTTTCGGATTTACTACGCGATTTTTTACCGTTTACCGTGATCACGGTCGTTGTAAAGTAACCGAAACGTCCGGAGTATGTAGTTTATAATAAAAAATAAAAAATCAGTGGTGGCCTAGTGGTTAAAAGGCCCGCCTCTCATGCATGAAGGCGCGGGTTCGATCCTGGCAAGTACCAATGTGATTTTTCCGTGTCATATGTACTTTCTAAGAGTATTTAGACATCACTGATTAATGCATTCCCAAAGAGGATTGATGTCAGGCAGGCGGCCGGTCATAAAAACAATTAGCCAAAACTGTTCACAACATGTAAGGCAGACCCTGGCTAAAGCTGGGAAATTGCCAGGTAGAAGAAGAAGAATTAAATTTATAAAAATCCGAAAATTTTAGTTTCATTTAAATAAGACGTAAGTAAGTAAGTTTTAATGGAACCTTTTATCTTTGTATAATTCAACACAATACTACATCCGTAGTTTCCACGGCACTAGTGACTCAAGGCTTCATAGTGTTATTAACTTTATTGTAAATTTCAAAGGAAAACCAAAGATATTTATATTGTTTACCTATTTGTATGTGTATTCAAATGTTTATTCCCAAATGGTAATGGGGAAACAGTTTTTGTAGTTTTCTAAATGAATTTAGATTAATTTTGTATGTTATTGTTATGTACCTATTGTTGATACTTCATTAAGATACAAATGAGTCATCGCTTTTTGTTACAAATAGGAAAGGTCTCTTCATAAGAAAAAATAATTTTATATGGAGAAAAGAGCTTTAAATAATGCAAAATAAGATTTATAGAAAGCCAATAATGTCTAAAACCAATAATATGATACACATTAACATGTTTTTAATTCACGAGTATATACGCAAACTTAAGATTTTCAATGCTTCATTCAAAATCAAAGTAAAACTTGATTGTTATTTTTAAAAAATAATAAAATGTTAAAATATCCAATATTAAAATTTCAGTACTCCGGTATAAGTACCTAATACATAAAAGTCCTAAATAATAAATAACAGTATGATGACGAGACAAAAGAAAAATATAATATACCAATGTTCTTATTCCTCACTCAATATTGTTTTTTAGGAAATCTTTTTATACTTTCTCAAAAGAGATATTTGACCTTCGAATTCTTGGCCCTAAAAGTCATGTCCATATATTAAGTGATTAAGTCCTAGTATACCTACTTTTCTAGAACATCTACTTTATAGAAAGCATATACAAATATAAGTACTTATATTTCAATTTCAATTTTTACAAACTGGTGTATTGTTTCGATAACATACAACTTTAGTTCAAATATTTCATTTAAACTTGGGTTTTCCCGCCAACTCCGTGTTAAGCAAATATTTCATAAGGACTTTCCGTATACTAATAGTAATGTGTCTGTCATTATCTTTTGGACATTACGAATCTTTTTAAACAAAATTATGACGTTTAACTGTCCCCAGTAAAATGTATAGGCCTGTCTTACTTTATGTCAAAGCTAACAATATTCTTCTTCTACCTGGAAATATCATGTAATAATTTCATGTTTATATGAATTTTATCAAAACTCTAAGTGTTTTCAATTAGTACTTTGAGAACAACGATAAGAGAAATTGTACTGTGACTTGCATATGACAACATTGTTTGCAAAATTTTAATAGCTATGATGCGACGCAATATAACCTGTGATTCACGTTGAATTAACACGATAAAACCCATTAATTGTTTTCTTAATGTTGATATAAAACAATATAATTTTTCCTCATAAAATTCTACAATACGATCAATTTGAAAGTATGATAATTTTGCTTCGTTCAATCGTTATTAGCCAATAAATATCCTTTTACAGA